GTGCCAGCATATTGATTTCAGAAACCTTTTGCAGCCTGTACAAGTAGGCTTCTTTTTGTACTGTAGGTCAGTGTCTGAAAGCAGGATCTGCGCTAGTTCCAGGGTTTTTTTTTTGCATGCTGCTTTTTCTCTAGATCTCTCCTGCCCCTGTCTGAGTGAGTGAGGCAATATTTTCATGTCACATATATACCTGCACTTGTAAGGGTTTTGGTTGTTGTAGAGAAACACAATACTTTATACATTTTGTAAAACTTCTGCAGATCCATAGTATCTGGAACTTTCTCTTCATGATCTTTCACTATTGACCTCTACTAAAATGCATAATATTAGGATTTCACATAATAACTACTAATCTGTTGTTTTCTTCTTACCATTTTACTGAACTGCAGACTGTAATTCTTATATGATTGTACTTCACTGATGTAACAGATTTGTCATCAGCAGGGCTAACTACTATAATTCTTCGCTGTGCTGAATGGGAAGAATGTTACCACAACTTTGTGTAGTCAGTCTCTTGCTTGCTCGTGCAAATCTCTGATGGCTTTTCATCACTCACTAGCTCTTGCACACTTGTATCCCCTCCGGTATCTGCTGAATGTTCTGATGGCAAATACTGGGTGAAATGATCTAAAGGAAGAGCTGGAAAGCACCTGCTGCTCCCTGAAGGCTTGTGGCGCCATTTGCAGTGAGTTTTTGCTCTGTATTCTGAGCCTGTACCTCACTGGATGAATCCCAGCTGCATATTAGTGAGTTGGTTTTTCTTTACTGATACAAAGCAAATATGAAACTGTGAATTGTGCTTGAAGAGGAAATCTGACATTCCAGTCTCAACTGTTCTGTCTGGTTACGTAATAAAATTAAGGGCAGTTAACTCTGATGGCTTTTCTTTTATAAGATTTCCAGACCAATGCCTTTAATTTTGTACTGTATGCACTGAGAGGGCTCCAGCTCACAGCACAGGATGCGCGTGGTGCTGGCACTTTCACTCTTCAGCTTTGTTTAGAGGTTCCATTCAAGGTTCAAGGGTGCATGCTTGCAGCCTGATCCCATTGAATGAGGGTATGAATTCCTTGGTAGGCATCACAGGGCTCTGTCCTAAGGGAGTTCCAGTTCAGGAAGCACTTTCCACACTTGGTATTTGCTTCACTAGCATTCTGTTGAGAGAAAGTAGGAACTGGGATATCTCCTTTTTGGTGGTCCAAGACCAGAACATGAAGTGCAGTCAGTGTTCAGACAGCTGGCATTGAGAGAATGGAAAATTCTGAAATACTGAAAATATTTCATTTGAGAACAAGTGGACACTAGTGGAGCTGGGCTCCTTAATTTTTGAACAAACTTTATATAAAGAAATCAGCTGGACAGCATGAGGAGAAATTGTACTGTTAAGAAGACTTATTAGTTCAGCGTGATGTATTAACATGCTTACTCTGCAAGTCCTGCTCTTAACATGAAGTTTCTAGAATCAGTCTGGCCTGGTGTGAGAAGCCAAGAAATGGTTTAGTCACTTGCTTGTCTCTTCAAAGATTTTCCTTAGTCTTTGACTTTGTGGAAGGCTTTAAACTTTGTTGCAGAGTCCCAGTGAAGGTCAGTGTCTAGGGCTTAAGTGCAGTTAAATTTATGGGTATTGAAGAGCTCTTGAACAACTCCATTGTCCAAGCCCCTCAGCACTGGTGGACCTTGGACCATTCTATTGTGTTGTGTGACAGGGAGGGGCCTCCTGCCCTTTGCTGGGGCGTGCAGGGGGAGTTGGTGTGTGCACACGTGCACCCATGTAGCTCCTGAGAGCACTGGGAATGGGCTGGGTGTTTTCATCTGCTGTGGTCCCTCGCTATGAGACAAAGCTCTTCTCCAGGCTGCTGTGCTGCTCTCCAGGCAGAGCCACAGCCCTTCTGTGGGTCTGAGGTGCTCCTGCCCAGACTAAGCAGAGGGCTGTTTGTGATAATAGAAAAAGGACATTGGATCAGTTCTGCCAGATTAGGCCATCTTCCTGTGCACAGACTGGGGACAAGGCTTGTGATCTGGGGTTCCTGGTGTCCTGATGAAGCATTGTGTGCTCCTTAGAAACTGCATCCACAACCCAGCCCACTCCTGTGCTGGAATTACTGAGGGGAAGACTTGGAGGAATCCTGAGGAAGCTGGAAGTGCTGGAAGAGCTGTCTGACATTCAGAGAAGCTCTGCAGTAGCCCAGACTCCTTAAGCATGCTTTCCTGATGTGGAAATTACAGACTACATGTAACCTCGACTGCTTCATCCCACAGCCTTGCTGGCTGTGTGTCTCTCAGTATTACTGTCAGGAAAAAAAAAAGGTTACAGCTCTCTTCCATCTGCCCCAAGGGATTTGAGGGCTAAGTTTGGCTTTTGTAAAATTCTGATAACAGGAAAGCTGCCTGTGAGAAGAAGGAATGTGTGCTTTGCTTGCTTTACTTGGATGTTGAGGCTGACTTTCCTTTAACTATTGAAGACACTACAAAGCCCTGAGTACTGCCACCTGTGTCATAACACAACCATCAGAGGCTCCTGCTGCTGTCTAGAACAGCTCCTTTAATGCAGAATTAGGCAGGAGTCTGTCATGCTGCCTCTCCTCTTACTGATGGGGAGGGTGAAGGCCAAAATGCATACATAAAAGGGACTTGGTCCTGAGCACACAAACAGTGAATTGGTAAAATAAATTCCTTGGGTAGATCAGATCAATCCAGCCTCTTTTCCTGCAAAGTCAGTGCTTCCAGGCAGGGAAGTTAGTCTCGGATCTTCACTGGAGCCTGCACAGAACAAGGAGGTTTGGTTCCTAGGAAAGTTTTAAAGCTCCATATTTGTATAAAAGTAAAAATTCAGTTGTTGATTTACTGCTTGCTACTTAGTTAAAAAGATTTCAGTGTGTGCTGTGGAGGCCACCTCTGTGGGGCCAGAGATGCCCCCATTTGGGTGCTGTTCTGTGACTCCCTGCTGACCTCTTGTGTGAACACAGAGCTCTTGGCTGGGCGTGGTATGGGTTGTGATATTTGAACCAGTTACTTAACACGAGCTGTTGGAAAATTGTACAGGAGGTATTTTTGCTCCTGGTGCTTTGATCCCTGTGTGCTGTACTGCTCCACAAGGTGGGGGTGAGATCTGTTTCTGGTTGAGTCTTGCTGAGGCTTGGTGCTCATTCCCTTCCAAGCAGAAGGAAGAACTTAGAGGTTCTGGACTCCGTAGAAGAAAAGAAGATCCCAGTGAAGTGGCTCAGTCATCTAGGGAAGATTTTTTTCCTCCATAAAAAACTAGAACAGTGTTGAAGGTAGGGGCTTGAATTTCAGCTAAGGAAAATCAGACAATTGGAGGTTAAGACTAACTGTCCTTCAAGTAAAGCACAGTAAGTGGGGACTGAAGGGTAGATTCTCTTTACTTGCAGACTCCTAAATGAAGTTGGTGATTTATGGAATATTTCCATGGAATGAGTATCTCCAGGACTGCACTGTTTCAATAAATAACAGCAATTCCTATTTTACACTGATCAGATAATGCATGGTAGTGTTGACTATCAGGCTTTGTAGGCTATAAATAGTAGTGGGCCTTTATGCAACCCAGAAGAGAGGTTCCTTTCATTTACTTTTATTCCTGGTTCATGTGTTAAGTGCAATTCACTTTTGTAAATAAACACACCACTCGATTTTTGTGCATGGTTATGATGTATTGTGGATATAAAGATTGCCAAATCATACCGTCTGTGTTAAGTTCTGTTCCAGACACAACTGTAGAATAAGCTGGGGGGGGGCTCCGGAGCCAGAGCGCGGGGTGGGGCGGGGATGCCCCTGCCAGCGCCCCCGGGAGCGGCAAGACGGCGTTCCCGCTATCCCCGGGGCTTTGCACTGCCGCAGGGCGCCGCGTCGGGCGGTGTCCCGCGGTCCCGGTGTCCCTCTGTCCCGGTGTCTCGCGGTGCCCGTGTCCCTCTGTCCCGGTGTCTCGCGGTGCCCGTGTCCCTCTGTCCCGGTGTCCCGCGGTCCCGATGTCCCTCTGTCCCGGTGTCTCGCGGTCCCGGTGTCCCTCTGTCCCCATGTCTCGCGGTCCCGGTGTCCCTCTGTCCCGATGTCCCTCTGTCCCGGTGTCCCTCTGTCCCGGTGTCCCTCTGTCCCGGTGTCCCTCTGTCCCCATGTCTCGCGGTCCCGGTGTCCCTCTGTCCCGATGTCCCGCGGTCCCGGTGTCCCTCTGTCCCGGTGTCCCTCTGTCCCGGTGCTGGGGGCGGGGGCAGCGCGGGGCGGGCCCTGGGCTGGGGGCGGGGCAAGAGGCGAAGGGCGGGAGGCCGGGGTCCGGGTGTCGGGGCGGGGCTGAGGAAGGGCGGGGCTTGGCCGCAGGGCCGCTATTGGCCGCCGGCTGTTGCCAGCGGGGTCGCGTTGCGACGCTAGCGGGTTACCCGCAGTCCATTGGACGTTCGGGAGCTGCGTCAGCGCGGTACGGGCGGGGATTGGCGGGCGGGCGCTGGGGGGCGGGGCCCGGCGGCCGCCGCAGCCGGCGCTGGGGCGGCGCGCGCCGCGCTGAGGGGCCGCGGGCGCCGGGAGCGCAGGTACCGGACGGGGGGGGCGGTGGCCGGGCCGGCCCCACGCCCCGCGCCGCGCCCACCGGCCCGGGCAGCGCTCCGGCGCGGGGCTGCGGCCTCGGCAGCGGTGTCTCGGCGGGGCCGGGCCGAGGCGGGCGGGCCCGGGAGCCCTGACAGCCCTCCCGGTGTCCCCGCCGAGGGGTGGCCCCGGTGTGCGGCGCCGCTCGTGCTTGGGAGCCGGAGCCGCGCTGCAGATCTCGGGGCCTCTCCCCCGGAGCGACTGCCGCCGGCCCCGCTGCCCGCACGGGCCCCGTGCGAGACGCTGCCGCCGGTACGGACCGCGCCGTTTTCGCTGTGCGGGGCCCCCACGCCTCAGCCGCGGCTCTGCCGGGCCGGGCCGGGCCGGGCCGGGCTGGGCTGGGCTGGGCTGGGCTGGGCTGGGCTGGGCGGGCCTGGGCCGGGCTGCCACTGTCCCCCAGGAGCGCCGGGGCTGTGGCGTACAAACATCACCAGGGACAGAAGTGCCGGAGGTTTGAGAAGCGGTGTTTATTCGTTAGATTCTTCTTCCCTGAGTATAAGCAGTGATTAGGAAAAGTTTCCTTTGCCTCTGGGCTCCCGGACCTTTTTTTTCACATGTTTGGGAGCGTTCTGGTGCCTGTTTTGCCTCCCGAGCACACAGACACGCTGCCTCGCGTGCAGAGATTTCCCAAGAGAATGAGCTCGGTGTCACAGCGCAGCTGAAGAAGTTGCTGCAGTCCTGTGCTGGAGCAGCAGCTGCTTTCCTCCGTGATGTAAGCTTAGGGTTTGTGATGGACTTTTCATAAACTGGCAGTCTTTAACTTTCTGTCTCGTTTAAACTCAGGTTTCTTGAGCCGACTGTGACAGACCAGAACTGCTGGTTTGTGGGATTTATCCAAGGGACAAGCCTGTGGCTCTTGTACAGGAAGGTGATTGTGACATGGGAGGTGTTTTTGTTGCAGTCTCAAACACTTGTTCTTGTTGTATCTAGATCTGGTGGGGGGACCAAGATTACAAACCAAAACGCCATGCAGTGGTCTTGGAGGCTTCTGGAGTGTGAAGTTGCTGGCATGTAGTGCCCTCAGAAATGGTGCCACCAAGGCATGGGGTGATATCTGTGCACTGCATGGTGCTGCTGGACCATGGAGAGTTTAGGCTGTTGTCCTGTTGGAGGGAGCTGTGCAGAGCTTGAATTTTGCAGGCAGGCAAGTGAGGTGTTGCATGCTGGGGATGATGATGGTGAGCTGGAAGTGTCAGGGTTATCCAAAGCAGCTCTGACTTTTTATTCTGCTTGTTTGTATTCAGTGTTCTGTCCCTGCCCTGATGTGTGTGATGAAGATCTGTCAGTGGGGATGTGATTCTCATCCCACCCTGTGCCCTTTATTTGCTCATCCCTAAGGGACTGTTTCTATTTCTCTCTTAACCCTCTCTATTACCAGCCGTTCATTTTCCTTGGCACTCTCTTGCTCAACTCTCCTTCCAACAAGCATTTATCTCTGTGTCTTTCCCTTCTGATGCAGTTTCTAGCACTTTCTTGACCTTTTTCCAGGTTCTTGTTGAGAATGCCTGTGATGTCACTGTGGTTGGCCAGCTGCTTTGGCTGTGGCTGGTCCTGCTCGTGGGGACATAAAACCCTGCTTGGCTGCCACTCACATGTGCACAGTATAATCCTCTGAACAGCTGGACGTTAGTCTTGGCTTTCCAAAGCTAAAGTGTTTGAACACTTTTCTGCATCTCCAAAGGATTATGCAGGGGAGTGCTTGGAGGCTGGAAGTGCCCTGGTTTTTCAGGTGTGTTTGAAGCTGTGATGGTGTGTCACCCATCAGAAACAGAGGCTCAAAGGGAAGGGAGCTGGGACTCTAAAATCCCTTTGTCATATGCACTGTGACAGTGAATTTAATAATTCTAGTTGAGGACAGAAGGTCTAATTCCCCCCAAGCACACACAGGGGAGCGTTGCAGGCAGCCTGCATCAGTAGGGAAGTCTGAACTGCCAAGAGCAGAGCAGGTGACACAGGGAATGGCCAAGTGTGAACCTAATGTGTTGTTCATGGACACTCTCTACCAGCTATATAGCTGGGGGTGTCTATGTGTGGTTAGCTGATCAGCACCACTGCCTAAGTGGAAACAGAAAATGGCATCAGAACTAATGTTCCTCGTTTTGGATGTATTTGCTGTTTTTTGCTGTGGATTGCACAGGCTGCAGGGTGAGGTCACGCTGTGGTGGATGCCAAGGGGCCCGTGCAGATGAGCAGATCTAGAATGTACCGACTGTGAGCAGCTTCCCACAGAGTTCTTGCCTTCGTGGATGCTGGGAGAGGGCCTTTCCTCTTCCAGCTGATTGATGCTGGCCTGCATCAAGCAAGTGTAGCACACCATGTTTCTCTGGGGGGAAGTAAGCACTGTTTTCTTGAAACAGCATGACCAAGTCAAAATGCATCCATGGCAAGCTGAGCCTGGGTATGGGCTCTGAGACTCTGTGAGTCTGAGGGACTGTTGCAAGTCCTCAGGGCAGGACTTTGTAGTACTTCTGCAGGTAGAGGCACAAAGCAAAATGAGCACTTGGGGACTTGTTTCACTATTGTTTACAATATCTTGGTTTTTCACACTAAGACCACAGAAGCTTTTATTAGAAAATGAAGGGAGGAATCCAGTATTGTGAACTATAAACTACATGGTAAGTTTATTTTTTCTCCACTTGCCTTTGACTTAGCTTTGGATATTTGGAGATTTCAGAGTTTCTCTTTCCAAACTAGGTTTTTTTTCCCCTTCTAGACTGAAGTTTGAGCTGGTGTGTCTCTTCTCCCTCCCAGTCTAATTTACTCTGGTTAACTTATGCCTGCTCTTAGCTCCAGCCTTTCCCACAATAGAGAAATGGTCTCAGTTACTGACTCTTGTCCTCTTGGAAGCACTCTGGGCACGTCTCAGTGAGTGACACCTGGGCACACGAGCCATGAGGTGAACTAAGCCCTGGACTCCTTTGTGTGAAGGAAACGAGTGCAGCACCAAGCCAGGGTAGGCGAGTGGGTCTCCATGAAGTCTGTATGGCAGCTTTCCTGGCTGCTGAAGTGACGCATTAATCTGTGCTCAGGCTTATCAAGGGTGGCTTATCAAATTCATGGCTTATCAGCACAGTTCATGTCATGCACGTAAACAGCAGGATCTCCACCCCTCCAGTCCTGGTCTTGTTCTCTCTCCAGCTCCAACTGTAGCAGCTGTCCCCTGGAACCTGTGTCTTTGTGCCATCTTTGTTGTAAGTATACCAGCTCAGCAGCAGCAATGCAGCTCAGCTGGGAGATGGGATTCCCCACTGCAGCTGGTTTGGGAGAGCTTTTGGTGGCTCATCTTACTGGGTGAAAGTAGGGAAGTCACTACCGAGTGTCTCAGGGTCTTGTGTAGCTTTCCTGGGGATGGAATGTGCCTCTCCTGCTGTGCAGTTACAGCCTGTGAGAGCCCTAAGCACTGAAGGTAAAGTGCAGAATGACAACATCCTGAAAGCAGGGACTGCTAGCATGTCCTGGGGCAGGGACTGAACCCTGTGCATCCTCCAGTGAAGGGAGCAGCCCAACAGGAGCTGTACTGACCTGCAGCTCTTCCTACCCATCTGCCTTGCAAATACTTTTCCTAGCCCAGGCCTCTCTTGAACAGTGTTACAGTTTGGAATCTGTCATTTGCCCCCATTTCAAATAGATAGGCATCTGTAAGTTTTATTCCAGATTTTTTGTAGCAATTCTAACTAAACTTTTCAATTCCTGATAGAACCTGACATGATTTTGTGTGGTTAACCTCAAGGACAGAAGTGCTGTAAGTGCAGTTGCAATTTTAATCAGTTGTCACAAAATTAGTGATCAAAGCTGAAGGAAACATTCTCCTCCAGTTCCTAAAAAGAGGAAACAAGGGACAGGGAGCAGCACTGGCTCAGGAAATAAAAGTACAAACAAATCAAACTTATCTTCTAAAGCACTTTTCTGCAAAAAGGAGAACACACCAAGTTCATGTAGTCTTGGCTTGAACAGGAGGATTTCTTTGTTCAAAGCTTTGAGGGCTTTAGTTCTGTTTCAGCTGAAAGCTTTTTGGGGTTAGATTTGAGAGTGGTGGGAGGGGAAAGGTAAACTTCATTTCTGGACTGTTTTCAATTTATTTCCTCCCAGTTTTTCTTGTACTTCCCTGCAGACAAATCAGACAAGGCCTGTGTCCAGAAAAACTAAAAATGCAGCCTAAGCAAAACATTGCAAACTGAACTGAGAGAGTTTTGCAGCACAGATACCAATTCTGAAGTTTCACCTGAGGATTGAGGAGGGAATCTGTAGCAGTAAGGAGTGGGCAGAAGGGAGGCACTGGTGCCATTGCCTGGGATCAGTGACTCCTCCTCTCTGGCTGACCATGGCCGTGCTCTCAGTGTGTGTCTGCTCTGGAGCTCTCCAGAGCGGGGTGGTGAGTCACAGCCTGCCCCTGGTGGTGCCTTTGCTGGAAAGCTCTTTGAAAGCTGAACGTTCTGAAGAGATTTGTGATACAGCTAGGTTGAAAAATCTAAATAGTGAAGTTAAATTCCAGATCAAATGTCTCCTGGGAGCTAAGTGTGCTGCCTGGCTTCGTGCAGTGGCCACGCACCGGCCGCGCTCTGAGCGTCGGGGCAGGCAGGGCTGCACTGGGCTTTGCTGATGGTTTGTTCCAGCTCAGTTGGTCTCCAAGCAGAGTGCTGTTATTTGTACAGCAGTGTAAATGGTACTTTATAAACCAAGAAGGAAAACACTGGGGAGAATGCAAGTTCTTTCTGACCTGGGCTTCCCAGTCCTGAAATAATGTGTTGCATCCTCCTGAGTCGTGCCCTTCGAGGGACTGACCAGTTCTGTGGTGTGGCACTGCAGTCTTGATCTGGTGCATGTGTTACTGCTACACTAAAATTCTGTTTCCTGAGGTATTACGCACAGCTGGAAAATCCATTTGTTCTGAACAAACTGCAGCTGCCTGGCAAGTGACTGTGCAGGACTGGGGAGCACTTGAGCTTTGACCTTGCTGCAGAGGCTGCCTCTGTTTAAAGAGGAGCTCGCTGAAGCAGTAGAGCTGGGAAGCAGAAGTGTCTGCTGCTGGTGTTTTGTAAAGCACGTGGGTGCAGAGAGATGTGAGAGGCCACACAGCTACGGTCCCTTCAGCAGGGCAGGGCTGTGCTTGTGTCTGGTGGGCTGGCTGTTGTCCCCAGTGATGGACAGCACTCCACAAGAATAGTTTTGTAGGCATGATAATACATTTTTTCCACCCTGGTTCATGGTTTCAGTTTCAAGTCTTTCTAATGCATCTTTCTTTCCCTGGAAAGAGTGATAAAATGCAGAGGGATGTGGGTGCAGAGACTCTACAGTTGCATTATGTAGTGAGTTGTGCTGCTGTTCATCTTTAAAAGCTGATGTCTTTTGAATCCTCAGAGGAGTCACAGGTGTTCCTCATGCCCCAGCTGGTTTTTAGTTGTTCCCTTATGAAACTTGTTATTAAAATGACTGAATTTTGATTGGAGATACCCTCTGCAAAGAATTTTCTTCTAATGTTGCAATTCGTTTTTCCAGATGTTGGTAATTAAAGTGCAGTAAACTTTCCTTTCATACGGCCTTGTGGCAGATAGCAAGTCTCAAAAGAGCTGAGATAACTTTGTTCATTTTGGCATTCCAGCTGTAGCATACAGCCTAATTGTTCCCAAGCACAGCAAGAAAAAAAATCATCCTTTAGGCTTCTTCTTTTTATACTGATTTTTTTTCTCAACATCTAAGCTTGAACCTTTTGCT